GGTTAATACTGTTTGGGACTATACTGGTACTTTATCGGTAAGTGGGTTGTAGTTCTCTACCATTACTTATACACTATACCTCTAATTACGCTAACATTTTGTATTAATTATTAATCATCTAGGCACTTCACGCAACATTTTGACTATTTCACTAAACAAGGTATCGCTGGCCCAAAGCCGGGCATATTTTTAGGCAATTCATGGGAACAGTTGTTTCTCAGCCGACACGAAGTAGAGATACGACGGGTCAAAAAATATGGCAAACTATTTGGGTAATTGTAGCCTTTTATTATTTATACTTGTTACACAACAAGTTTATAGATAATTATTATAATTTACATCTTGTTAGTTAGTTCAAAATAAAATAAAAAAATTTTGACATTTATAAATTAGCTCTCTCTCTCTCTCTCTCTCTCTCTCCAGAGTGTTTGAAGGAAAGCGAGCGATACTACATGTGGCGGACCCGGTGCTCATCAAACACATACTGGTGAAGGACTTTCACGCGTTCACAGACCGGCCGCTGGCGACCAATGCTTTCACTAAATCCGATGTCAACCAAAACTTGGGCGCCGCTCGAGGCGAGCAGTGGCGCCGAATGCGCACCGCATTGACACCAATGTTTACATCCGGCCGTTTGCGGCGCACGTATCCACTTATCGGCCACTGTTTGCGGCAATTAATGGCTGCTATGGTTGAGTCGGCCGACGACGGGCGCCCACTGGACGTCTATAAGGCGTACGAGTGTTACGCCATCGACACAATAGCGGCGGCCGCCTGGGGTGTCGAGACAGACGCCGGGCACCGGCCGAACGACCCGCTGGTAAGCAACGCCCGACAGATCGGTCAACTGCAGGGCGCGCGACGGGTGTTGCTGTGGTTCATACCCCGGCCGGTGCTCAAAGTGATGGGAGTAAACACGTATCGCAACGCACGCGTCGCCGACACACTGCGCGATCTGATACGTCAACTCCTGGACCACCGCCGCGGCCAACAGAATGGCCACGACTTTATCAGTCAAATGGTAAGGGCGAGGGCCGGGAGAGTGGCCGTTGCCACCACCTCCACAGTCCCAACAGGTGGTGATGGGATCGATGCAACTAGTTCATTTGAAGGACACCATATTAATGAAGGTAAGGGTTTTATTGAAATAGATTGACCACATTATTCAGTATTTTAAATATCATAAATTGTAACATACTAATTGATCTTAATGCTAAAATCCACGTTGTATCACTAATTTATAGAGAGAGAGAGAGAGAGAGAGAGAGAGAGAGAACTAGAAATAAATTGACAAATTATACATCAATTTCAAAGGGGATGAACACAAAGAGGCTGTGAAAAGAGTGCTAACAATAAGCGACAACAATAACATGAATGCACTCAACGAAACCGAAATCATCAACAATTCGTACATATTCTTCATCGCGGGTTACCATCAATTGGTGATAACCCTCTCCTACTGTACGCTTGAGTTGGCGCTCAATCCCCGCCAACAGGAGCTCCTGTACGCGGAGGTGCGCGCAGTGGCGCCGGAACCGGACTCTGAAATCCCGTACGACACTCTGGCCACTCTACCCTACTTGGATGCCGTGCTGTCCGAGTCTATGCGCATACACGCCTCGCCCTATAGGCTGCAACGGTATGCCACGGCTGACTACCGACTCCCCGGCACTGATCTGACCATACGGGCCGGACAAGAGGTACACATTCCGATATATGCCATACACCACTTGGACGAGCACTACCCGGAGCCGCAACGTTTCGACCCGGAGCGATTTATGGGCGAACGGGGCCGCAAACTAACCCCTTATACGTACCTACCCTTCGGCGCCGGTCCCCGTAGTTGTGTGGGAATGCGTTTCGCACTCTTGGAGGTGAAGTACGCGTTGGCACATATTGTGCGCCGCTATCGGTTTGTCCGCTGCCCGGAGACCAACTCTCGGCCACCGCTGGCCAACCATTTTTTCCTAATAGTGCCCAAAGAGGTGTACGTTAAGATCGAGCCCCGGGAGCACTGATTTTAGCATTATGATTATTGTTATCTGCTATAAGTTATATTGTTATTATAATCAATATGACTTTATTAACATTATTCTTTTAATATATACAGTAGATGGTAGATTATTAGAAAAATTAGATTTTGAGTTTGTATTAAGATAACTATAATTAAAATATTATGCTAATGTGTTGTAATAACCAAGATTGATTTTGAATTAATAAAATTGTTGTTTTATTTTATTGGATATTAAAATTAAATTAACAATTATGTTTTTATTAATAATTTGTAAAGTATACAATATTTTTTGCACATTTACAATTTATAAACATTAAATTTTAATTGTTAATAAAATTGCTAAATCATAGAACTAATTATATTTCATGTTTGACAAAATAAACATTTAACAATTTAATAAAATAGCTACTAACCACAAAATATGCTAATTAATATATTAACAAATACATTTACCTTAAACGCGATACTATATAAATAATAACAAGATGTTATTTTGAAAAATTTTATAATTTTCTCTTAATCCATCAGAAATACTGTAAGAATATATTAATAATGATAGTAATAGTAAAGTAAATACAGAAATAATAATTAAGAATATAATAGTAAATATTTTATAACTTATTGTTAACTAAAATGTATGAGACCTTGGACATACATATATGTAAATAATAAATATATTATGTACATGATTTATTTAGTAATATTTTATAAACGGATTATATAAACATTTATATTAATAAACTTGTATGAAATGTTAACATAATACAGTATTTTATCAACTGGGTGAACAAGCAGTTGTGTGAACTTAGCATTTGTATGAACCAAACCCTAAAACCAAAACCCGCAGTCCATAGNTTTGTGTGAACAAAATTGAGCTAATATTATACTATATTCAATACAATCAGTTGTGTGAACCACATATTATGTGACAAAACCCACATATAGATGACAGCATTAATATTTATTTTGTACACAAACCCAAAAAACCTTAGCATAAAGTTAAATTACAGTATAAAGAGATTACTGGTGCTTACAAAAACCAAACAATGTCACCTATATTTATGAAACAACAACATATTCTCACTTTTAACATGTAATCAGTTGTATGAATATATCATTTGTGTGAACCAAATGCTAAAACCCAATCGGTTCACCTAGTTGATAAAATACTGTACTAAATAATAATTAATAGCAATATAACTGTTATTTATATATCTTTATACAACTCGAATATTACATTTTAATCTGATTTCAATAATTGAGGATTTAATCATTAATGCAATTCTCTGTTTAATGCGTGACTTTAAGCGCAAATATATTTGTATTGAAGCAAAATATGTAAATAAAATTATTAAATCAACAAAAACACAAATGGCAGAGAAATATTTGTTATTAATTAAATAATTAATTATTAAAGTAGATTCAATAATTATACAAATAAAGTTGGTTAATATTAATAAATTATTGTGTTTATAAAATAAGCCATTTATTACAATATGATCATCGTCGAAATGTTTAAATGATGTTGTGATTTGAAACAATAAGTGGTTATTTCGTGGCTTATTTAATTTTAATAAAGTTTCAAAATGTGCTAGAATAGTTAGGTATTTATTATACACATGGTAATATATATTACTGGGGAAAAGTACCCAACCACAAAGATAAAATACAGATATCAATGCGTGATGTTGAAAGGTGATTGATATTTGATATATCCTAATTAGTTCGTTAATGTATGTATCGGTAAAAATATAATACAATGCAATTAAATATGTTGATAAATGTGAAATTATATAAATAATATCAACATTGTGATTTTGTGGGATTTTATATTTGTAACACAGTTCATCAAGTTCATAGTTAATTTCCCAAAATAATTTGGATTTTAGTTTAATGTTAATGTATGTCAATAACACTGAAGAAGTATATAATATCCACAATATTTTAAAGCATATCTCAAAACAAGTGTCGTTAGTATTAATGGCAAACAAAGCGCAGACAACGAGTGCCGCGAATGTTGTCGACATAAAACCCGTCAAAATATAATTCAAACTTTTATTATAATGTTTAGTGAGTTTACAATTAATGCCATAAATAATACACAAGTATTCAAACATTTTATTATAATTATAACTGAACAAGTAAGATATGGTTAAATGAAACTTTTTAGGAGTTGTTACTGAAATTATGAAATATTTTAGGAAATGTTAGTGAATTACTTTTTAAATAAAATTTAGCTTTAAAAATAATGTACAGGAATATATTATTTTATATGTTGTGTTGACATTAGTCTGACTTTTATATAATAAAATATTTCAATTTATGTTTTATAATAGCATTTATTTACTAATAAATCTTTTAATCTTTTAAAAGCATTAAAAATAAATTTTCTCGAAAAATATTTAAACAAATGAAGTCAAGTATTTAAACATTATGTTAAAACAAACGTTACACTAAACAAAGTATTACTGATTATAATACCTAAGCAAATATTAAATAATATTTTATGATATATTAATAAGTGTCTACTTTATTTTAAAATTTATTTTATATTAAATCTATAAGTCTTTAAAAACATGACAAATACATAAAAATACAATAATTCATATTATAAACGGATTTAATATTTTTGTAAATTAATACAACAGTATTATAGAACAGTTGTATTACAATTTGGTGGGTTCAACTTTTAAATAATGTTAACACACATTGTTGTTTATTATTTTTAAAAAATCTAAATAAGTTTAAATTTAAATAATATAATATTATATACAACATTATATATTGTATGTGTGTTCAATATTTTCACAATGATTCATTCAATTAATTCATGTCTAACCAAATCCTTATAATATTTTCGGTCCACTTTTCCGATGACAGTCCGCCGGATCTGATCGACAAACACCACACCGGCCTTCAGTTGCTTCAAGTAGGACAGTGTGCCTACCGGTGCCATACAAACACATTATACATTATATACATGTACATTATGTAAATCAACACAAAAAACACTATATATAAAAACTATAAAATAATTACCCGAAACAAACTCCTGGATCTCGTCGGCGGTGTCAATACCGGGTTGAGTCGGCACGACATAAGCCCGGGGCCATTGGATATCCGGGCCCTGTGTATTAGTCACGCCCACCACAACCGCCTCCCTGACCATGGGATGGGTCAGTAGGTGCTGTTCAACCTCTACGGGCGACACATTTCTGAGGTTACCGCCCGCGCTCACCCGTATTGCATCTTTAATCCGGTCGGTAATATACAAGCAGTGCTGAGTGTCATAGTGTCCGATATCGCCGGTCCGGTACCAGCCGTCCCGATCAAAAGCCTGGGCTGTGGCCGAGGGGTTGTTGTAATAGCCGGCGAATAGTTTACAGCCACGCACACAGATTTCCCCGTCCAAGTCCGGCCCGAGACTGACCCCAGTGGTCAGGCACGCTATGCGTACCTCACAACCGGGCGATAATGGACCTTGATTTCTCGCCATGAACTGTTGTTGATGGAGGTCATTGGGTGTACCGCGTGTTACCAAACAGTATTCAGTCATAACATAGACTATGAATAGAAAATTATTATTTATGCAATTATTTCAGAGCAATCTCTCTCTCTCTCTCTCTCTCTCTCTCTCTCTCTCTCATGCACATGCTCTCTCATCAAATTGGATCAATCTAGCTGGAACTGCGGGGACCGGCGCCGAAGGGTAGGTACGTATACGAGGTTAGTTTGCGGCCCCTTTCGCCCATAAATCGCTCCGGGTCGAAACGTTGCGGCTCCGGGTAGTGCTCGTCCAAGTGGTGTATGGCATATATCGGTATGTGTACCTCTTGTCCGGCCCGTACGGTCAGATCAGTGCCGGGCAGCCTGTAGTCAGCCGTGGCATACCGTTGCAGCCTATAGGGCGAGGCGTGTATACGCATAGACTCGGACAGCACGGCATCCAAGTAGGGTAGAGTGGCCAGAGTGTTGTACGGGATTTCCGAGTCCGGTTCCGGCGCCACTGCCCGCACCTCGTCGTACAGAAGCTCCTGTTGGCGGGGATTGAGCGCCAACTCGAGCGTAACGTAGGAGAGGGTTATCACCAATTGATGGTAACCCGCGATGAAGAATATGTACGAATTGTTGATGATTTCGGTGTCGTTGAGTGCATTCACGTTATTGTTGTCGCTTATTGTGAGCACTTTTTTCACAGCCTCTTTGTGTTCGTCTCCTTTTAAATTGGTTTATAATTTGTCAATTCATTTCTAGTTCTCTCTCTCTCTCTCTCTC